CCTATTTTTCTATTTTGAAATAGCATAAAAACCTATTATTTGCAGGAACCTAGATGGAATTCAAAGAAAATAATGTTGCAGTAATTAAGTGAGATGCATCAAGAGAAATATTAGAATTTTCTATTGCGTTGAAAATTAAAAGGAAGAGGAATTATTATGTACAGGAAAAGTGATTAAGTACAGTGGGTCCGGTGAGGCTAAGGGAAGGGAGTTGTATGTGGTCAAAGCTGCATGCATGTGTGGTATGTATACATGCATGAAAATTTCCCAGTGAAATGCATTCACATGGAGAGTTGCATTATCAATCACAGAAGAATTATTTTCAAAAGGTAAATTCACATGGAAGAATGGTGACATGAACCTAGTCCACGTGTGGCCACATGGGGGTGACAATGGTCCTTGGTTACGGAGCAGGAACTCAAGTTGTGAGCGCTCTCAGTGAGTCAGTTCTGCCGATTTCCAACTTCCTCCTATAATAAATCGATATTTAGAAATTAACAGAAATTTACACCTCAGAAACTAAAATTCTAGATGATGTCGGGTGACAAGCTAAGACTCCTGGTAAGATCTAAAGCTTAGAAAACACACCCAGTGGCTGACTGTAGACTCCCGCATCACTTCCACATCTGTGATATTTATCTTACTTTATCTTTGCACATGACAGGAGGTTTACTGCGGTCCCTCACACCTTCCTAGGTATTATCAGACATGTCATTATTTAATCTTTGTGATGGGATTGATATTATCTTTGTTTTACAGACAGGGCTCTGAAGTAAAGAGACATTAAATGCCTTGCCCAGACCACATATTCTAGAAGTGGGTATTTGAACTTATGTGTTTTGACTCCACTTAAATATAACAATGGCAGGCCATTTAGATGTCACAGAAAACCTACTAGCATTATAAGGGTTTATATGGACTTTTTATGCTGAAACATGACATCTAAATATGGATTTCTGACTAGTGTTTAGATCATTTTTATGTAGTTAGTTTGAAAATTGATATTAAAATATGTAGCAGTGACAGTAGATTACAATAGAGCCCAATGTTCTCGTGGATATCATTCTGATTATTATTCAATTACATTTTTATGATGAATTGATCAAAGTTCTGACAGACTAAGGAGTGTGATAGTCTGAATGAGTATGGCCCCCGTGTGTTCATATAGTTGAGTTCTTGGGCCCAAGCTGGCAGAAGTATTTGGGAAGGCTTAGGAAGTGTGAACTCATTAAAGGAGGCACTTCCCTGGAGGAAGGACTATGAGGTTTCAAAAGCCCATGGCAGTCTCAGTGTCTCACTTTCCCTACCTTGTGCTTGTGGATCAGAATGTAATTTCTCAGATTCTTCTCCAGTGCTATGCCTGCCTGCCTGCTTGCCTGTGGCCACGCTCAACTCCATGATGAGAATGGACTTCCCTTCTGAAACTGCAAGCTTTTAATAAACGCTTTCTTCTATAAGTTACCTTGGTCATAATGTCTTATCACAACAATAGAAAATTAACTAGGACACCTAGTAACCATAGGATCACAAATGTTATCTCAGCGTATTCACCATTAAACATCACAGAGACACCTGTCTGAGCATGCTCAGTGTTCCATATTCACTATAACTGAGATACAGAATCTACAGAAATACTTACTGTCAGATAAATAATAAAAATATGGCTTACACACACATGGAGTATTATAGAGCCACAAAAATTCTCCCATATTTTTTTAAAAAAAGGGAGAGGCTGGAGAGATGGTTCAGCAGTTAAGCAAAAGATGCTCTCCAGAGAACTCGTTTTATTTCTTATATATACCACATGGTGTTTCATAACTGCCTGTAACTCCAGTTCCAATGCATCTGATGCCCTCTTCTGACCTTTGTGGATACCAGATACGTAGACAAAACCACCAATTTACATAAAATAAATTAATGATTTTTTTTTCTTTTTTGAGTCAGGGTTTCCCTAAGTCCTGGATGTTCTATAACTCGCTCTGCAGAATAGACTGGCCTTGAACTCATAGAGATCCACCTGCCTCTGCCTCCCAACTCCTGGGATTAAAGGAACGCACCACCACTGCCTGGTGATTTGTTTAGTAAAATAAAACATGGGTGAGATGGAAGACATTAATTTCAGTGAAATGTACTATATATGCAGAGATTAACACAAGATAAAGAAAAATGTGTATTTGAATGTGGGATGCCAGTTAACAATTAATATAGAATAGGAACAGCTGGAGCAAGAGACACATTATTAAATAAATGTAGTATTTGACTTAAAAATGTTACCTGAATGACCACAGTGAACATTACCTTTATTAACAATTGATCTGCTTATTAGGAAGAAAACAAAGTGAAAGTTGGGGAAGTAACTGAGGAGTAACTAGAGAGAGGAAGAGTTTGTTTTGGTTCATGGTTCAGAGCATAGTGCATTACAGGATGAAAGGGATGGCGGAGGACCAGTTCCATGTACGGCAGTGGGAAGTGATTCTCACATCTGGGAAGGTCAGGAACCAGGAAAAGGGGATTGTTCACTCACAGATACTTCTCTTTTTCTATTTTAACTCAAGCTAATACCCCATCCCAAAAGAAGCTGTCACCTATGTGCAGTGCTACCCAATTATATTTCTTTAGATACCCTCATGCACAGAATAACCAGATAGAAATCATTTGGGTGATCTTAAGTCCAGGTAAGTTGACAATGATTATTAACCAGAAAATGAGAAAGGAAATAAAGGCATGGAGAGGTGAGAAGAGAAGGAAGGGTAAGGAAGGCAAGAAAAAGGAGGGTAGGGAAAGGAAGGGCAGAGGAGAGGAGGGCAGGGAAAGTACAGTCTCCTTGCAGAACAGTGCATGTTTCTCTGACCTGTCTGTCCTTATGGATCTCACTAGCCTTTTGAATCAATTTTGGCACCTTTTACAGACTTTCTTTAATAGAGGAATGAAACACACCCATTGTTTTTATTTTTATTTTTGAATGCTGCATATTTTCCTTCCCCTTCAAGGGAACCATTATATTTACTTGTCTTTTGTGCATGCTGAATTGATTGTGCGTGCGTGCGTGCGTGCGTGCGTGCGTGCGTGCGTGTGTGTGTGTGTGTGTGTGTGTTTGTGTGGTCATGTGTGTGAGCACAACTGACCACATCTCTGTCTTCCACATGGAGGTCAGTGAACAGCCTCAGGTGTCACTTGTGGCCTCCTACCTTGTTTGAAACAGATTCTCTTGTTTGCTGCTGTGTCTATCAAATAGTGCCCCTGCATGTCTGGACATACTCTTGTCTCTATCTCCCATCTTGATACATTAGCACTGGGACTAAAGATTGAGTTACAACATCAGCTTTACATGGACTCTTGAGATGTGAGTACAATCTCCAGTTTGTGCATAACAAGTGCTTCGTTTACTCACTAAGCCATCTTCCCAGCCCTCTCCCCTCAAATAGATCATCATCCATATTAACAGATCCATGGGCACAGCATCCAACCATGGCCACAATGATGACAGGTGAGGTCAGCAACATGATTCTCAGCACTCAAGAGTCTGTGGCTTCTCAATAAACTCCTCAGTCTAATAAGGTTCTCTGAATATACAAAATGGCAATGGATAATTTTATCA